CTGCTGTGAGGACCTGGACGAGGTGGTTGGTAAGAGCAGAGAGAGACAGACTGTGTGGGGACTACTGTGGTGGTCCCGGCAAGAGAAGGGTGTTCCAAATAGGGCTGCGGTAGGAGGAGTCTTGTGGTGGGCGGCTGAGTTTGGACCCCTGCAAGTCCTGTCCCTGTCGCCCAGTACCCCAGAATAGAACCTGATCTGAATATAAGGTCTCTGAAGAGGTGATTGGGTCAAAATGAGGCCATTAGGTCGGGCTCCAGTCCAGCCTTACCGCGGTCCTTATCGAAAGAGGAAATGTGACAGGGGCGCCAGGGATGCAGGCGTGCGAGGAAGGACCAAGCGAGGACACAGGGAGACGGCGGCGGTCCGCAGGCGGAGGAGAGAGGCCTCGGGAGAAACCAGCCCTGCCACACCGTGATTCTGGGCTTCCAGCCTCCAGAGCCTCGAGGAAACACACTTCTGTTGTTCAAGCCACCCGTCCGCTGTGCTTTGTCGTTGCCTCCCTGGCAAACGCACGCAGTGGTGGTAATGGTGACGGTGGTGCTTTCTTTGTTCCCGGCTGTGCCATTCCCTGCAGTCAGGGCCCACGTGTGCTTTGTGTCTGCTTCCCACACTGATGGTGCCTGCGTGGCGGGATCAGGGGCCTTTCTCCCTGGCTCGTGACAGCCACCCCAGCGCCTGGGGCAGCGTCTGAGCCAGGAGATGCTGAGTCTTTTTATTTGGGGGCCACAAACTCTGGTATGTGGGAGAGTGTACGAAATAGTAATGTAGCCAGTTAGAACCAGAAGGTTTTCCGAAGGCATATGTTAGCAGTGGAAAAATGACCCTCACTTGATTAGAGGGATACTTGGAACAAGAGGCCTTTAAAAAAAAAAAAGTAGTTCTGTAAAGAAGGAGATTTAGCCGTTATTTCAGCTTCACTTCACGGCTTTGTCAGAATAAAGCTAATCTGTGGAAAACGCCTTCCCCAAGGGCAAGGCTTCCCCTCTGTTGTCTGCCCCGGGCATGCAGTGGTGTTCAATAACTGTTTACTCAATAAACGGGAATATTTCAAATCCTTGTGTCTTCTTAGAGCATTTTGAATTGCTTTTAACGTTCTCTCATATTTAGCCCAGTATCAGTTATTCCACCAAGAAGGTAAAATATTTCGCCTGTTCTTTCCTCCCGCACAGTTGCATCAGTGGTCTTGAATCGGGTCTTGACTTGTCCCTGTCTTTGACCTTAGACTGCCCTTAAACGGAAGACTCGCAACCTAGCTCAATGGCACTGGCTCCACCTTGTGTCAGAAATGTGGTACCACACCCACTGAATGCGGGCACGCCAAGAACCAGCCTGCCCCGAGGTCAATTTTAAGTGGCCCAAATGCTGTACACAAATCAAAGGGTGATATCACTGCTGGGCAAGCTTGTTGTGACTCATTTGTTCTACAGTGACTTTGTCTCCATGTTTAGCAGTCTCGGTGTAGGACAAGTACAGAAACAAATTCTTAGTATTTAACCACAAAGGGTTTTGGAGTTAGTTTGTAGTCCTTACCAAGATTGATGGCCTGATCTTTTTCTGGCCCCTGTCTTTTCTGGCCCTGCTCTTGTCTCCTTAGCTCGCCTCTCGGGGCCTTAGTGCTCCCGAGGCTGAGCTGTTGGCCATGTGGTTGCCTCCGGAGTGGCAGGTTGCCCACTCCGCCCAGAGGCCATCTGGCGCGCTGGGGGCCCACCTGGCCCCTTCTGCTGCGTGCCCAGGTTCTTGGCACCAGGGCTACGGTGTGAGCTCATGGGATCATCTTCCTCGGTGCCTCCGGCCTTGTGTTTCAGGATCTGAGAACAGGAGAAGCTCGGAGTCGTCTTTGTTTTTCTCCTGTAATTTCCCTTGACTTTCCTCTCAGGGACCTTGTTTAGGAACTTGGGAGGCCTCTGGGTATACATTCACCCCATTGTGTAACCTTTGCAGGAAGAATCACATTTGAGAAGAATGGGCTGTTAGTATTTAGACATCACCTCCCTTCCTCTCCCTCTGCCCTTCTGAACCTGCTTCCCAGGCTCCCCCACCTGGCCTTTCCTGGGCCGTGCCACCAGCCAGCCTCCTTGGGCCAGAGGTCTCTCTGCCACTCTGCCGGAAACTGCTCGTCTGCCCAGAGCCTGTGCCCAGTGCCGAGCACGCGTCACTCACACCACCCGGCTCCCCTCCTGCGGCAGCAGGCGCCGGGCACAGTGCCGCTTGCCCCGTCGTTGGGCCAGCTCCCCACACGCCTGTCGTTCCCTGCGAGGAACGGTGGACCCACAGCCAGCCTGCACTCCACGCGCGCTGCGTGGTGTTCTAGGTCCCGTCAGTGTGGCCGGGTCTTTAATTTTCAGTTCTAAAGGGCTGAGTGAAAAGGCTATAACTCATGTATTTTACTGTGAAACCGATGGTTTAGACATCCTTGATAATCAACATTCCAAGCAAAAACGATAAAAATAGTGTGCCACAAAAGAGCAAATTATTTTTTATATGTAGTTTATATGAGACAGGATTTCTGTTATTAGTTCTTATCACTTGGGTTTGTATGGCTGAGGCTGAAGTGTGCTTATCTTGTTTTGTTTTTAATAAAAAACTTTTTATTACAAAACTTCAAACTTACAGACAAATAGGAAGCACGGGGCACTGAGCTGTTACGCACCCTCACCTCGATGCACCTGTTCCTAACATCCCGCTGCGTGTGCTGACGCTCGCATGGGCTCCCTCCCTGTCTCTCCGTTCTTCTCATCCTGCGGGTCGCGTTGAGAATGAGCTGTGGATACTGTGACCTTCTCTCTGAAATACTCCAGGGTGTGTCCTCTGAGAACAAGAACACTCTCTGACATAAGCCACAGGCTTTGTGTGTGTGTGTGGGGGGGGGGGGGTTTAAAAACAATTTTAGAATCAGAGCACTTTGGGAGGACTTGTGAGAGTCACTCGCTCACTCCTCTGCTCCTTGCAGGTTAATTCTGTGACAGAACAAAGCTGATATTTTCCGAGAGCGATAAACTCACTCCTGCAGGGACCAGGCCTTAGCATGAACGTGTGAGTTAGAAGGCATAGGACAGTTTTCGCGGTGGGTGTGCGTGCCCCCTCTAAACAAATACGTAAACCAACACTATCCAAACGAAACCTTACCCGAGGGCCACATGCGTCCCTTGGATCATAGCCGTGAGCCCTGGATCGATCCTCAAGGCTCCCATAGGGTGGGATTCCACAGCTTTCTTTAGAAGCACCTGTTACAGGACATTCTCCTTTAAGTCTAATTAAATGCCCTGTTGTGATTTATGTGAGTCAGCAACGTGCAGTGGTTAAAAATGTGAATTCCTGCCTGCCTGTGTTCGAGTCCATTTCCACTGTTCACTGGGATCTTGGAGAAAAAAAATCACCTAACTTCTCTTCATTATTTGTAAAATAATAGTACCTTCCACTCACAACTGCTGTGACAAGTAAGTGGATGTGAATACTGAAAACCCTTTAAAACAGAGCCTTGAGGACGTAATAAAAATTTGGTGTCACTGTGTCCTGCTCATACAGAGTAGCCTGGAGGGAGTTCTCCTCGCGTCCCTACAGGCCCTGCACGGTCGGAAGGGGTCTGGGTGAGCTGGGGGGGGCCGTTCTTCCCCGAAGTCTCACAGGGAACGTCCGTTCCTAAGCCAGAAAGCTCGCTCCCAGCCCCATTTTCTACTTCACCGCTCCTGTCGGACTTCTCAGCTCCTGAGAGTCTGCTAGTCTTGAGGAGGCTGTCGCTTGAACAGATTGGCTGGAGGGGTCCCGGGCAAGTTAAGCGGCTGTTTCCTCGCCTGTAAAACGGAGCCCCCAGAAGCACGCACCGCCTGGGGTTGCAGTGAGGACTGCGTGGGTGCTCTACGCACCGGGCCGGAGTAGCGCCCGGCTCCGGCGAGGGCAAGACTCCGCCTGTGGCCGCTGGGTGGGGCGCGCCGTGGTGTGCTCCGTAGCTGTGGCCCGAGCTTCCTCGTCACCAGCACTCTTTAGGGGGTTTCTTCATCTTTGTGTACAGCTCAGAGACTTCTGATTCTCTCAGCCTTTTGTAAAGTTTTTAACAAAAGGGATCATTTTGTTAGAAGGGAGGGCGGGTACAGGGTAGGAGGCAGTCCCGGGGTTTGGGAGGAGAAGAGATGGAGGTATGGGAGGGAGGGGGTGGCGAGAGAGAGCCTTGGACTGCTGGCTAGAAGAGAGCTAGTGCTGGCAGGATTTGGGGGAGGGGCTGGGCGTGGAGGGGTGAGCGGGGTAGTTACCAGGTAAGTACCTTGGGAGGAGCAGTGGGATAGGAAGAGGAAGCTGCGGAGTGGAATGGTGGGAGGTGGTCTGGCGCTGTTGGAAATCTGTCCTGAGGCCATAGGTTTAAGTGCCATGCCGCTGCTGTCACCTTCAGCCTCCGGGCAGACGCTGTCATTCCCCTTCACAGGTGTGGGGCGGAGGCTCGGAGGAGCGAACTGACACTTAACAAGGTTAGCTCCTAAGTGACTGGCCTTTCTCTTCCTTCCTCCTTTCTTTTCAGTTTCTAGAACTTTCGGATTTTGGCCTAGGGAAGGCTTGCGTTTACTGACCAACACAAACACATCTTTCTTCTCTCCATGGTTTACTGGTCCGCCTTTTACTTTCCCCAGAAAGTATCTTCATCCTCTCGAGGTGACATTCACCGAGCGACTTTGTCTGCTGGGCCGCATCTGCTGTGACGTGACCTAGAGCAGTGACCGTCCACGGTTTCCGTCCCCGGGCCCATGCGAACCCGTCACCGCGATTCTGCCGCACAGTTTCACATCGTTTGCTGACCTCACAAAGACCGTTGTGTGATTTTGACTCATTCACACCAGACAGCTACTGTTGTGGTGGCCGTTGTCACTTTTTTATTTGACAACGAGGAAGAGAAAAGAGGGCAGTGTTTTAAACACTCCCGCAGCACACCGGGTGGAAATCGCTGACCTAGAGGAACAGCACTTGCCTGTTCAGAGTTTCTGTTCTAAGACTCTCAACCGCTCTTTCCCCAGGGAGATCGGAACTATTGTCCGGTCGTTGGGATGCTGCCCCAGCGAGGGAGAGCTGCACGAGCTGATCGCGGAGGTGAGTGGGGCCGAGAAGGTTTTGTCCAGCGGAGTCTGTGCGGCTCTGCCTCCTCGTAATGGAGAGAAGGGTTCCTTCCTGGAAAGTGAAAATGCCCTCTACTACTAAATGTGCTCATGAGAACATTAGGGCGGCTTGTGAGCCACCCGGCCAGCAGGATCTGAAACACTGCTACCAGATCTCGAGGAATGCAATGGGTCAAGTAAGGCCCCCTTTAGGTACCACACTCTCTAAACTTAGTTGGAAAGGCCAGTAGCCACAGGGGCTGACTGTAGGCAGAGAGAGGGTTGGCAGGTGACAGATGATAAGTAATGTCAGTTCAAAGGGGACAGAAGCAGAAGTAGAGACTGCAAGGAAGCTGGAAATGAAACTAACTTTCAGAAGGAGCAGTACACATAATATAATAATGAGAACGGACTTGGCATTGACCAGGCAGTCTAAGAATTTTCACAGCACGATTGTGTGCAGTAGAGTAGGCGAGTGGCTGGAGACGTAGCCCGCACAGTGGTGCTGAGCAGCCCAGGACCAGCCAGGCAGCTGCACGCGTGTTCGGTTTTCCAGAGAAGTGTCTGATCTCATTTCACGTGCAGCTTTCAGTTCAACACAGAAGAGCCCTGAAGGGAAAAAAGCTCCCTGGGCAGCCACCAGGAGAAGGGCTTTTTCAGAAACGCTTACCTAGGCGTGTGGGTTCAGGGGGAAGCCAAAGACGACAAAGAGAACAAGGTGAAAAGGCAAGGAGGTGGGATTTTGTTTCTTTATTCCTCGCACTCAGCATAGTATGTGCTCTTCAGTGGGACAGAGAAGGGGGTGGGGGTGCCCGGGTGAGGTGCGTCAGCTCTGGGAGTGGCGGCCTCTCCATGGTACCGCTGCTTCAGAGTCTGCTCTGAAGGCCAGTGAGCTGACGCAGAAGCAGACGTGGTCTGAGCCCCACAGCGCTGTGGGAAGTTCAGGGTCGGGGATTGGGAAGATGATCCTGCTGCCCCTTGGTAACTAAAAAGCAGTACCAACTTTTCATTAGCATTTAAAAATATCCAATAAAGCAGGACATCTTTATGTTGTTTTTCTATTTGGAGGTCCAATAAAGCTAATTTTACCAAGAGTAGAGGAAGATGCACTGGTTTGAATAGATTTTCTTTATAAAACGTAAAGATATATACAATGTAAAAATGAACAATGACATTTAAAAATTAATGTGTTATGTATGTGATTTTGAATATATCTTTGGCCTGAATAAGTTTATGTCCTCAATTTGACCGGAGTTCTTTTAGGGAGTTTTCTCATTAGGGAGAATGACGATCACTCTTTATTCATCACTATATTCAGATCTGTATTGTGTTAACCACGACATATTTGCTTAAACCAAATCTCAGCTCAGGATGAAGCTTGTCCTCCCATCTCACTGCAACAGAACTTTAAACGGTTGCTTTTGGCACCAGTGGGTGGAAGAATACCTTAGTAGTGACTGTGACCCCAACACTTGCGGCCTCTGTCAAAGGGGAGGGCACGCCGCTGGGGGTAGGAGGGACACCACGCCTAGGTGGAGAGAGGCTGACCCGGAAGGAAGGGCGTGGGTCACTTGGGGTGGCTGGAGCCCCGTGAGGCCCCCTTCCCCCCAGAGGATAAAATGGGGAAGTGAGTGGCTTGACAGCCACGGACTCCCGCGCTGCCCTGAGCTGTAGACTCAGAGTTGGAATCAATGACCTGATTTTGCCACCTGTTGAGTCTTGGCATCTCTGATGCTCCAGCCAAGAGGTGATTCAGTCTTCCTTTCTTTCTTTCTTTCTTTCTTTTTTTTGATACTCCCAATAATAAGAAAGGGACTTAAACTTCAAGAATCACATATTCTAATTTTTACACAATAGCCTTTGGAATGTTTGGAGTGAGTAATTTTTCTAAAATAGGCATATTTACAGTTTTTATATTTTACATCTGAAATATCTTATGGTTTTCATACTTTTACTACAAATAGTTAAAAATTCATTTGCACGTCTTATTTGGTGACCTGGAACTAGTTGAAATGTTGGTGCTTTACCAACCATCTCAAGTACTGAGATCATCTTGCTTTTGTGGAGCATGAAATAGTTCAGTTTGCTGACTGAGTGTGAGGTCACTGGGGAGGAATGAATTCTCACTGTGTGTTTTATGGCACCTGTTCCGTGAGCTCAGCATTAAAATAAATAACGCTTTAAGGAGAGGAGAGATGGCCTGATGCTTTCGCTGCGGGACCGGGAGAGCAGAGCGCTCTGGGCGGTGACCCCACCGAAACACGTGACTGACGCCGAGGACGGAGATAGCCAGGCAGTCACCCCCACGCAAATTTGCTCAGATGCAAAACTGATGAAGAAAAATGACTTTTACCGAAGTAGAGCAAGAAGCAGTATTTGCCTCATGCTTTGAGACTTAGATAAAGGTTGATATGCTTTAACATCCTGCAGTATTTACGTGTTTACTGAGACCCCCCCACTCTGGGGAAGAGGGTGCAAGGAGATCCCAAAGGCACTATGGTGGCCTCGCAGAGGTGGGGCCTCTGCGTGTGGCAGGGAGAGGTTTATGTTTTCTTCAGGGTGCCTGTGCCCACAATTCTTTGGAGGAGGAGAATCGGGGTGGGAGCACCAGGGCCTTGGTCTTCCTGGGAGACATGCACTTACACCATTACGGTGAACTCACTGTCGACGGTACGTGAAGGCCACGCTGGGGGATCTCCCTGCCAAGCGACTTCATTACACTCGCATTCACAAAGGCTGCCTCGGGCACTTGCCCATCACGGCCCCCGGTCCAGCACAGCAGCCCTTCTCTCAGGTGAAACAAACTGGGTTGTAACACAACTTGGCCTCATTCACGTTTGGAGTGACAGATGTGTTTGTTCGGCTTGTCTCTGCCCTTTGAAGAGGAGGGATGCGCTGGGGGGCTGGCTGTTACTCCCCTTCTCCTGTCATTCCCGGAGGCAGATGCGGAGCCAGCAGCCATGGAGGCCTCGCTGCTAAATCGCACGCCCTGTCCACTAGGCAGGGGCCCGGGGCGAGTGACAGGCTGGCAGACCCTCCTGGCAGTTTAACACATTCGCACCACCCTGCCTGCTGCATTTTCTGGTTGGGAGGCAGGACCACACTTCAGTAGAAACGGTTAGTTCAGCGTGGTGAGTCAAGGAGGATGTGTCTGAAATTTTAGCACCAGAAGCTGGCTGATTCTTTGAGGAGGAGGTGACATTGCGTGACCTGGAGCCCAGAGCGCAAACACTACTGATAGAAATACTGATCACCGCAACAGACTCTCGAGGTTCCCGAGGCACCTTCGTGTCATCCCGGGTAACCTTCACGACAGCCACGTGGGGGCTGCTGTTGTCCCTGTGCTGTAAACGAGGATGCTGAAGCTCAGGGAGGAGTTCATCAGAATGTTTTCTGCTCTCCTTGGTCTAACGTGGGGTTGTGTTGTGATACTTTTCCATGAGAAAGGCAACAGCATTTTTTAAGGACCCTAATCCATGTTGAAGTGAAGTGGATTTTCCCAGCATGACTCTGCTGTAAGTGAAGAGATGGCAATGAATTCCAAGGCTTTCTGGGCTCGTCTGCTGTAAGTTAGCACATCTTTCTTGAATTTGTTTCATTGTAAGTTGGCTGGCTGAGTTTTCTCCTAAAGAAGGTGGGTCTGAGCTGCACCACTTTCTCTGTATCAACTCTGTAGAATCAGTTCTGAATTTTGAATCTCTGCCTTGCTAATCTCCGGTAGATAAGTGGAAGGAATTATGCCTGACGATAGTGGTTTAAAGTCTTTGAAGGACATACTGCCTCCACAACTTTTCTGTAAATCCGAAACTGTTCTAAAATAAAAACCTATTTAAAGTTAAGTAGGTTTAAAGTTAAGTAGGTTTAAAGTTAAAACCTATTTAAAGTTAACTATTTAATAGTTAAAATCTTTTATAATATTGAACAGTGTCTGCTATATATGACATAGTCTACTTTGCTGTGTTTAGAACTGCCATGTGTTGATTTTGCTACCACGCCATCGCTTGTGCATCTTTTCGTGCTAAAGAATGGGCAGGATGTGGCCTCTAGAGGGCAGTGTGGGCTCACAGACAGATTCTCACAGTCTGCCCAAGTCGAAGCTGAACTTACTTTTCACTTTCGAACGACAGACTTCTGTTTATTCATTATTCCTCTTTAAGAAGAAATCAAAGAAAATTGTGCCTCTCTGCTCTCCTGATTGGTTGGAGATCTGCTTTAATTTATTTTTTTTTGTGCAGTTTCGGCTCTACACAGACCCGTCAGGCCAGAATGACCCGCAGAGTTTCACCCTAGCGTTCAGGGCACCAGGGACCCCTGGAGGTTGGCTGGGAGCCAGGGGCTGGGGTGGGGGGTTTACTAGGCACATAGCACATGCCCATGAATTCTCACTTGGTGGAGAGCGTGCTGTGGGGCTGAGCTTCCTTTGGAAAAACTAAAAACAGTTTGTAAATGGATGAGGATGCCCATAAAGTGAAGTGGGGCTTTGGCCTCTGAAGGCTGAGACTGTTTGCTCCACTGTAGTCTGTTGGGGGTAAAGGGACAGGGAAGCAAGCCATTGCTCTGGAGCAAGTTCCTTGAGTAATCAGAACGGAAACCCAACATTTTACTTTAAAAATTACCTCGCCAAAGGTAGTCTCTTAAGATTGACATTTTATTTTTAAGAGGCTCCTGGCTTGGAAATTGTAGGGGGCTACTCAGGCAGGCACGTCAGAGCGTCAGAGCCACGTGCCCATTCATTTGCAGAAGGCTCACCTGGGACCTAGAGGCATCGGAAGACGATTGTTCCAGTGGGGATAGGCTCAGAAACCCTGAATCACCTCAGAGTGCCGTTAGGTGGAGCACGTCCTCTGCTGCTGGTGGAGTCTGAGGGCTCCATGCATACCGGGGTGGGGTGGGGTGGGGTGGAATCCCCCACCACACGCAGGAGGAAATAGCTGTCGTTCGGAAGACGTGCGTTCCATGGCGCAGCAACCTGTGGATTTCTTGGTTTTGCTCAAAAATAAATCTGTTGAGTTGGGATCTGTGAGCCTTTTAAGAGGATTTTTGAAAGGGAGTGGAAAATTTAGAGCTCCTCGTAAACAGCCTTGCACAGAAGTTCAGATAGATGGCGCTCTGTTCTTGCACACCATCCTGGTGGAACCCAGGGGCGGGGTCTTGCTCATTCCCCAGCAGTGCTGGGCACCAAAACTTCTCTTTCCAGGGGTAGTGCTCTCTTCAGCAGTGGTGGGAGAACAAAGGTCCGTTGACCATCTAGGTATTTAATAGCTATCTTACAATGACTTGATGTGTCCGTTTGCCCCTGAGATCACGATTGGTCCCCTATCCTGGTCCCTTGTCCAGTGTTTCTCCTCTCAGGGACAAACTTCTCTCCATCCTGTCTGTGCAAGTTAGAACCCTGGGAGTTGTCCTCGACTCCTCTCGTTTTTCCTCGTCCTTGCCCACATGGATGCAGCACCAGGTCCCATCGACTTTGCTTCTTAAGTGTGTTTTGAAACCATCCACTTCTCTCTCCACGGGAGAGAGAATCCCAGCCCACAGATTATTCCTCAGAAGCCACCTTACCTGCAACCAGTGTAATCTTTCACACACACATCTGTGAGATCCTCGGTGATTTCTCATTGGTCTCAGGGTAACCATCAAAGTCACTTCCACAGACAGTAGGGCCCTGCGAGGTCTGGTCCCCGTGTCTGCAGCCTCCTCTGGAAACCTCCTCCTCGCTCCCTGTGCTGCAGCCTCCCGGTCTCCAGGGAGCTGCACAGGGGCCTCTGCACCACGTCATTTCCTCCGCCCTGGAGTCTCTTCCCGCTGCCTCTGTGGAATGACCTCCTGCTCGTCTTTTATCCGTCAGCTCAAGTGTGATTTCCTCACGAATGCCTTCCCTGACTTTCTGGCCCAAGAGGTTTCCTTTCTTCTGCGCTGTGACAGGCCCACGCCCCTCCACTTCACTGTGCTGGCGTGAACTTATCATCAGACGCCCGGCCTTGCTGTGTTTTGATTGAATTTGTGTCCGCCACCAGGATATAAGTGCCGTGAGTGGAGTCACGCCCGAGGTTGCTCATTATCAAACCGCCCCCTCTTGGCTCAGTCTTGGAAAAAGTAGCGGCTCAGTGTATTTGTCTGAATGAATAAATGGCTATTTTTGAATTGCCTGTGTAGGTAGAGGAAGAAGAACCCACTGGATATATTCGATATGAGAAATTTCTTCCAGTGATGACTAATGTACTGTTGGAAAAAAGGTAAGAAAACGCAGTTGTCGGGGTAATGATTATAGTTACATTAATTGCAAATTACTTGTTTATTTCACCTCATGTATTATAATCAACCAGTATTTTTTTCCAGAATAGCTTTCTTCTAACTTTTCACTATACTCTGAACTGCCAGTTGCTATGTACTTAGAAGTATCAACCATTTCAGTATTAATCTAATGAGCAAAATGTAACTAAAGGGAAAGTAAGCTACAAAAAGCATAAGCCAACAACATTCTTATTATCTTTTATTTTGAACTATCAGTGATGAATAAGAATTAACCCTAATTATTCTTCTAGAGAAAGCATCGCATTAGCTTACCATTGTTGATTTATTGAAGAACATTTGTTCCCGGATACATTGATTTCTATAATGAGGAAAAAAGTAATAAATAACATCAAACATGCCAGTGATTTTGAATTAAAACTGAGTATTTCCCATGGGTGTGGAGTGCTTTCAACTTTCATATCTAGAAATCCAAAAAAGAGTTCAGTGAGGGAAGTATTATTTTTTGTTAGCAGCTTTTGTTTTATTTTATGAGATCATTCATTATGTAGAGACTGAGCTAAATACTGTGGCATTTACACCTTTTTTGCATGATTAGATACAGACCAATTTCAGAAGATACCCTTCTTCAAGCTTTTGAGGTATGTAAGCTCCAGATTTTGTATGTATTTATATGAAAAATTCATCATGTAGAATTTATTCACCAAGTGAAAAATGTAATAGTTATCTTTTCCCTAGGTATTAGATCCAGCCAAACGGGGGTATCTTTCTAAGGAAGAACTGGTCAAGTATATGACTGAAGAAGGTAAGCGTTGTTTGTTACGTATTTTATAACAGTGACTTATTTAAGCAATTAATAATTTAACAGGTAATGCAAAAATTCTAGGAGATACTTTACAATCAATCATTCTGGTTAAAAAGTGTGACTTACTATTTCTATTATTTTGGTTTTGGCATGCTTTCTATTTTGTAGTGGGGAAGAAGAAAGAGTGTAGGTTGAGGGGAAGTGGATTTTTGCCTTTACAGGATTCTGTGAAGTATAATGATACTTCTATAAATTGAAGGCATTTCATTCACTTAGAGTATTTCCAGAATAACAGGTATGCCGCCTAGAAAACATGAATTATCAGTCACTATAAATTAATGCCTGCCGTTAGATTAAAGATTTGAATTGGAATATAAAAATTCCTTTTTAAAGAGATTTTTGGTTGGTGAAGTTACAGATAATACAGTCTCTAATATGAATTCACACAAAAAATTTCAGTTTCTATGCTCGTGGAACTATACACATTTGCTTTGACCTTGAACTGTACTCTACACACACATACACACAGACACACACACAATACTTGTACACCAAATATCCAACATATTTCCTTTAGGAATTCTCTCTGCTTAGGCTGATGTGTGAACTCGTTTTCTCTGTCAGTAGCCTAATGGGCATTCTCTTGTCCATTCTCATGTTGGTCATCTCCCTCTTCTCCCGCACAAAGTTATTAGAGTTCGTCTCCTTTGTTCACTTTACTGGTGCGCAGACTGAATCCCGAATGATTCAGAGTTCCCAATCACATGACACAGAATAAAGAGCGCAGGTGATTTTGTGTGGGAAAGGCTGAGCTGCATCTACACACACAGCTGGCGAGACTGTTTTGACCTGAGCCCACGCTGGGTGCGAAGAGAGGGAGAGTGAGAATGACCTGACAGTCACAGCTGCCACCCCCACGCTTGGGACATCGTTAAGCTTGCCTTAGGGACTAGTTTTGATGGAAATGTTGGACTTTCAAAGCATCAGCCTCTTAATCCTAAGGACTGATTGAAGGGAAGTCAGTCCTAGTTTATATCAGGCAACATAAATTTAGTCGAAGTATCCCTAACAGCTCAGTGTCATTAGTATGGTGGACCTACTAAGTGCAGTGAGAGGTATGATACTAAAATCTGTTCCCTTTCTCGAGAATATTAAAGTTTTATTGGGGGAAATAAAAGTAATTTGTAAAATAATTAAAAAATATAAGCCAATAGAAAAAAATGAATATCAGCCTGGAGAGCTTGGTCTGGGAAGATTTGAAGAGAAAATAGGTTTCTTAAGATGGCAGAATTTATGTGGGGGTGTTATCGAGAGCAGGGGTAAATCTTATGCACCGTAGCCCCCCCACACGAAGTAAGTTTCAACAGATACTTGTGGACGTGGACGTAATGAGTGCCTGAGCAGATGAACGAAGAGTGGGTGAAGGGGCGGAGGCGAGGAAGGCATGGCGTGAACAAAGGCTGGGAGGCAGGAGTGAGTGTGTGTGGGGGGCCTCTGAGAGCCAGGGCCCAGAGGGGCTCGTGGGGTGGGCAGTGAGTCTAGACAGATTGACTGGCGGCGGAGCTGGAGGCCTGGGCTCCGGAGTGTCGGCTTCACCTTGTGGGCAGTGGAGAAGCATGACAGGGTTTTGAGCAGATGAGTCGCACGGTGCAGGAGGGGCTGTGGGGAGTTCATCCGGTGCTGGCAGATTTGTTAGACGAGCAAGAAAGAGGTTCTACTGGGGAGACCAGTTAGGAGGCTACCTCAGCATTCTGTAGGTGCCCCAGTAAGGGCCCGACCTGCAGTGGCGGTGGGAATGGAAAGAAGAGATGGATACAGTAGATTGTCTCCAGCGGGGCCGGGGGTCATGCCAAGTGCAGGGGACGAAGCTGGGAGTGGGGTGAAGAGCACCGAGGCTGTGACCTGGATGAGGGGTTATGTGACGCTACTGAGTGGAACAGGGAAGTCAGGGCTAGACTGCAGGGGACCTGGGGACAACGGGTTTTCCCAGTGTCCACGGAACACCAGTCAGTTTGAGAACAAGCAGTCTACGTGCCCAGGAGATCTCTGATGAACCTAATAAATCTCACAGGATCAAGCTCCTACAAGACAGAAGTCCACATGTGTCCAGGCATGTGTGTCGTGTCACACGGTATTTAGCAGCCGGGAAGAACTCGGAAACATTAGAGAAGCACATGTTGCTGCCTCTGTGCCAGGCGGTGTTCTAAGGACTGCACAAATAACCACACTTCTGATAACAACACTGAATCAAATAACAACAACTCTGATCCTCACAGCGGCCCTCTGAGATCGGTAGCATTTTTATCCTCACCGTTTTCTAGACCGGGACACTGAGGCACGGAGAGGTGAAGGGACTTGCCCAAGATCTGAAAGCTAGAGAGACAGCTTAGCATCTGGACCCAGGCAGTCTGGCTCCCACGCCTGTGCTCTGCATCATCCAGCTGTTCCCCTCCCGTCCTTGCCCCAGGGACCAGTGTGACCCCCTCCTGTAATCCATCGTGAGCAGGCAGAGTGTGGTCATCGATTCAGACCCCAGTTCTGCCCCCACCGGCGGGCAGGCTGTGGGTTTCCTTGTGTGCTGGTGTCCTCCTCGTGAGTGCAGACAGCAGTCTGTGCCTGTCGTGAGGCGGTGGGGGGATTAACGTGGTCCCTGGGTATCAAGCACTCGGGTCAGGGCCTGGCACACACCAGTTCCTAACAAAGTGCTCATTAGTATTCCTTTAAGGACTCACCTGTGCCCATCCACGGTCACTGGTAGCATGTCTAGTATTTAACATCAGGTATAAGAAAGGTGCAGAATTTGTCTCTTTCGGCATTTCGGGTATTCTTCCCCCCCCCAAGGATGTAAGCATGGTTTCAAAAGAACTCAGCACATTCCCTTTGTTTGATAACACGGTCATCACTGTCATCAAAATCCCCACTTGAATAATCCTGGGTTATTCCCTGAACTCCAACTAGAAAGCATTGTTTGTAGAGGCAGGCGACTTAGCTCTGGAGGTGGGTACTCCTCAGGCCTTGGCAGCTTACCTGCTTGGATAAGACTCTTTACAGGTAAGGTGGCGGTTTGGATATTTCTGTGCTTTTGTTTAATATCAGGATGAAGTTCTGTCCTAAATGGTCGATACCTTTCCCAACAGCCTTCCTGAGTTTGCTGCTCGTCTTGGTAAAACCAGCGTCCAAATGGCCCTTGGCTGTTATCCGAATCCAACTGCAGCCCGTGGGTTTTCTGCCCAACTCCTAGTCCCATGTGACAGACACCCTGGGCCAGGCAGGAACAGAGAGGGGGGACTCCTTGGAACGGCTGGTGAATGGCATCTGTCGCTGGGCTCGGCTGCCATCAGTGTGCTGGCCCGGCTCGTCAGGGAACATTCGGGACGTGGTCGCCCGAGCTGCATGTCTCTGCTCCCTGCTCTCCAGCAGTCCTGCACAGCCACCGCTCAGTCCCTCTTCACACGCGCACGAAACATAGCGGCTGCACTCCCTACAGAGCCGAGGCTTCGGGTTAATCTTGTCGCAATTTCAGTAGTTTTAATTTAAATAGATAAAAAACCATGGTGTTTATTTGTGGAGTCTCTGTGTCCTCTGCGGTTTTGGCTGCAGTGATCAGTTCTGTAGGCGGCCTGAGCTGCGGGGTCTGCCAGGGGCCCAACTGCATTCCCAGGGACCCCAGGGCTGTCGCCACGCGCTGGCCCAGGGCACCGGGTGGGGGGGGCTGGCGACATGGCGGGGGCCTGTGGGGCCCCGGGACAGTTCAGCTGGCAAGCAGAAGGAGAAGGAAAAGAACCAGAAGGTTGTGAATGATGATTCTCCCCTCTCGTCCCTCCCAGGTGAGCCCTTTTCCGAGGAGGAGATGGAGGAAATGCTGTCCGCTGCAGTTCACCCGGAGTCGAACTCCATTTATTACAAGGACTACCTAGCCATGATGGTGGTGGATGAAAACTGAACACTGCGGGGACTTAGTTCCTAACAGAAAGGGTCGTTTTGAACATTGCTTGTCCTTGTTAACTTCACATTTTACCTTCCAGTTCCTCCATATGCTAATTAATGCCTCATGACAACCATTTCAAGATGTTTTGTTTTTTAGAAGATGATCATAACAATTTAAAGCAACTTTCTTTGATATGTCTTGCCTTGTGGAAGGACAAATTACTAATTATTTTAAAGCTGTTCTTAGTACATTTTAACATTATCGATGGATTTTTAATTTACTATAATAAAACTTAGGTTACCTTCAAATTAATTAAGCTGACAAAATGAAAAATGACTAGAATGACCCCAGGCCTGGCATAGAAAGATCTCAGGAGAGAGCAGAATGACCGCAGATGGAAAAGGAACAGCAGTGTGATGAAAGCTTCTTTTTAAAGCAACCTCAGCTCCGGGCGGGTCACTCATGTGCTTAGAGCATCGTCCCAAGGAGCCAAGGTTGCAGGTTCTATCCCCGGTCAGGGCATGTGCAGGAAGCACCAGTGAGTGCACAGATAAGTGGAACTCCAGATCGATGTTTCTCTCTCTCTCTCTGAAGTCAATAAATAAAAATATAAAAGTATTATTTAGAAGTATTATTTGAGAAATAAAGAAAACAACACTAAACACTTCAGCAATCTGAAGGTCGAAGAGAGTTATTAAAATGAATATTAATAATTCCGAATGAGTGCCAGTTACAAATCTCATTTGAAATGAGAGTAACTTAGTGTAAAAGTTTAAGTTTGCCAGCTAAAGGAGTTGAAATAGTCGAATTCAGAGGAAAGACGGCTGACCGGCAATTGGCAGTGGAAGGAAGGGGCAGTTATCTTCCGGTCCTCGGACTTCTGGCCCAGGCAGCACACCTGTCATGAGAACGTTGTCCCGATACTGGCTAAGAGTTCTGAGGAACCTTAGGCTATGTGGGAGGTACAGTTGTGAAGGAGCAGAACACAGCTACCTGAGCTCAAGGAATCTCAGTGGAAAAAGACGCGGGGATTATAGGCAACGGGGAAAATAAGGTGAAGGGAAAACAATCTTCTGAAACCTGTATATGCTTTTACACACACACACACACACACACACACGCGCGCGGATCTCTATTTAAAGACGCTTCACCACTACATGTGTGTACATGCATGTAAACATTTCATGTTGCCTGTGACCCTGCCTCCTAGGCAGGTGGTCTTGCCCCCCAAGAGAGGAGGCTGCTGCCTGATGTTCTTTGTTACTGTCCATCCATTCATGACACCTTCACCGAGTATTGCCGGATCATGAGCCACAGCTGGAGCTGCAAGGTGAATCAGTCCCTAACTAACAGAAGTCGCAGTTTAGTCAGGTCACAGTTCAGCAAGCCCGTCGGCAGCCATGTTGCAGATGGGCACTCGCAGGGCACGGTAGCCGAGCCCGAGAGGGACAGCGGACTCAGCCTGGCAGGGAGCTTGCTGGGAGACAGCGGACTGCTGTGTGTGGGGAGGGCTTCCTAGGACAGCTAAGGCCAGACTTAAATACCAGCTGCTTACTAAGGGGACTGCAGGCCACGGCATCTCAGCGGGGGCCCAGCAAGCGCCAAATGCCCAGAGGTGTATGAAACATGGGGCGATCCGGGAATGGAAGGTAGCTCAGCTGTCTGGTGTGTAGGAGGTTGGAAAGAAGTGCGAGAGAGGTGAAACTGGAAGTGCATCGTTAAGGACGTTAGGTTAGGTGTGCAGTTAAGGCTTTAGTGTCAGAACTGGACTTTCTTCTGAAGATCATAGGGAAAGATCATGTCAGTAGCACACACACACAGACCCAGATGTGAAGAGCCAACACTAAAAGTAAGGAGATCTGGTGGCAGGCTCTCAGTTGACAGGAGGGGGTGGCTGGGAGAAGTCGGGCACGAGTCCCAGGTCTCTGGCTTGGACGGTGGGCGAACCGTAGCGCCACTCACTCGGGTGAGGAATCCAAGCAGCCAGCCGGGGTTGGTAGGCAAAATGGTGAGTTTGGCTGCGGACATCTGGGGACTGAGGAGCGGTGAGACACGCTGGGGAGACATCCAATAATCGGGGATTAATAGGAGGGGCGTCTGGCTAGAGATGTGGGTTTGGGAGTTCTCAGTACTTAATGCCTTAGAGGAAAAGAGGGTCACCTGAACCCCGGGAAGACAACATTGCAGGGAGGGCAGAAGAGGAGCCCACAGAGACTGGGAAGGAGAAGCGCGAAAGCAGGGGGCGAAGGGGAGGAGTCTCTGGGGCGCCTGGGTCGGCGAGGGTCATGGACCCTAACCAACCGTGTGATGTCACAGACAGATGAGGTCAGTTAGAGATGGACAGAAAGTCCACTTGTTTTAGCAGTGAAGAGTTCTGCAGGAGCAGATCAGGTGAAGGGACAGCACAGGTTCGGTGCGGTGGGAGAAAGTAGGCCACAGAGGACAGGCGAGGGCCGTGGGGAGGCCAGACGTGGGCCAGAGAAAGAGCAGGCGGAGGGCGCCATTCCTGGAAAGTGGGACACACATGAGCACATTTGTATTTAAAGGGCCGAGGGCCAGCAGAGGCGCCGAGGACCCTAAGGAGGTGGGAGCGGCCAGGTTCCAGGGCCGAAAAGGGACTGGCTTTGGGGAGAGTCAGAGAGTCGGACCTGCATGAGCCAGCTTCTGAAGTCCCTGCCTAATGCACATGAGTTCCTCGGCTAATCCCTCCCCTTCTTTCATGCAGGCCCCCTCCCCGCCGACAGCTGTCAGTCTACTCCGCGTATCCATGTCTCTGTTTCTGTTTCGTTAGTTTATTTTGTTCATTAGATGCCACATATAAGCAAGGTCATACGGTATTTGTCTTTCTCTGACTGGCTTATTTCACTTAGCGTAATAATCACCAGGTCTATCCATGCTGTTGCAAAAGGTGAGAGTTCCTTTTTTTTACAGCTGAGTAGTATTCCATTGTGTGAATGTGCCACAGCCTTTTTATCCACTCACCTGCTGTTGGGCACGCGGCTGCTTCCTGATCTCGGCTACTGTAAGCAGTGCTGCAGTGAACATGGGGTGTATGTAGCCTCTTGTCTTGGTGTAGTAGGTTACAGAGCTTGAAGAGAGAGGAAAGATTTGGAAATGTCTCTTGTGGGAAAGAATTGAGAAAGAGACCGTGTAAGGATTTTTAAAGAAATCCCGGGGGATTTCGTTCAGTCACATAGGATCAGGAGCAAAAGTGGTGGATCGTGGCATTGGTTCAGGGTTAAGGTTTTACTGTCTGGTGAGGTGGGAGGGACCAAGGTCAAGGGAGTCGAGGAGTCCATGAGAAAGCAGTGGTAATGGCAGTGTGTGGAGTCCAGGGACTGGGGACAGATACAGGGAGGAGTGGGCTGGCAGAGAGAGGGGACTAGGGCCTTGGCATCTCCAAAAGGGTGACAGCTTGGGTGGCAGGAGCAGGGGTGGGGTCCTGGTTGAAATTCGACTTCGCTGTGTTCTTGGAATGCTCTTTCATTCTCCTATGTTACTGCTGTGGACAGCGGAGCAGCTGACACTCGGGGGCCGTCCACTCTGTGCCATGCTTGCTCTAAGAGCTCCATGTAGACTCCCTCACTGGCCCTGACCACCTCCGAGTGACGTGGGGGCCGTTCTGTCCTGAGTCTCACAAAGCCACTGACAAGGAAGGCCCTCAGCCATTAGGGCGTGTGCTGGTCAGCTTCTGCTACATCGTGGGCGATAACAGACAACCCCCAGGTCTCAGTGGCTGGCCACAAAGTTGTATTTTGGTCACGTTTTATGTCACCCGGGGTCAGCTGGGCCTCTGCGTCATGTGTCGTCGTTCAGCTCACCCACTTCATGAGTCCCCAGGGACACAGGTCCCCATCTACCGGGGGAGGGGGGTCCCAGCCTACACTTGTTTGTGCTCCCAGCATAATGCACGGATCTCCCTTTAGGAGTGTCTCAGTTTAGATGATTAATCTGCGGTTGTTCCATTCAACACAATAAAAAGGACGGTGAAGAGCCATCACTCGCAGAAGGCTTCACGAAAAGCGACCACAGGAGTGCAGCAACGGAAGGCATCTCTTCCTTCACGAGTTCCCTAAGGTTGTGCCAGGCTCAGTCCCGAGTGGGTGGAGGGCTGATGCGCCCTACTCACCCCGCCGGTGCTGGTACTCACCCAGAGGTGAGTGCGATCCGGGGCCTCCAGGCCTGGGGCAGAGAAGGATGAGGAAGGGGGTGTGGTGGCCGTCAGCGTTAACAGACGGGCTGTTTATGACAGGCGGCGAGGAGGGTGGCAGAGACATGACGTAGCCCCGAAGGTGGAAGTCCACCCGGGGGCATGTCATCGGGTGGCGGCAGCCAGCTCCGACACGCAGCGTTAAAGCGTGTGCTGGTGCCTAATGCGTGAACCCAGGCCCGGACTTGTTTGGAGTACAGGACAGCTTCGAGCTATTTTCTGTAAGCCCGTTACCCTGCATAACCCTGGTTCTGCCAGAGAATTGCCCCAGTCTCCCCGTGATCCAGTGGTGACGTCGTGTGCTTCCTCGCAGAGGCTCCCGGGAGGGAGGGATGCCTCAGGATTGGGTGCCCCCAGGTCTCCCCTTCTAGAATTCTTTCAGAAGTCCTGACTGGTGTCAAACTTCACACCCTGGCTCAAGAAAGTTCTCCCTCTTTAGTAGTCCCAAGAGTTAGTTTCGTGGAATATGATTCATTTTTTATCTTCACAAATGTGTTGATTTTTTTTTAAAAAGGCCATCAGAAAGTACAACACAGGCGCCCCACAGAAATCTCCTTTTCTCTCCCAGGCGTGGAATATATGTAGCATATTTGCAAAGAGGATTTGTCTTCATGCTCAGTCCCTTTCAGTTCCTATCTTGCCCTCTCCCTCACCTGTTTAGCCCTCAAGTTCCGGTTTAAATCGCAGGGGCACCTTCCTGGCAAGAGGATTGCTTGGTCTCTTGTGCAGAAAGTTCTCTTCTCCTTGAGGCTCCGGCTTCTGCAGAGCCAGCCTGGTGGAAAGACAGCTGGTCCGCACACCTCTGGGCTGGGGAAGCCGCGTGACTCCGGGCCTGGAGCCCAGGCCCAGAAGCCAGGAGATCCTCGCCCCGATCCCTGCTTTGCCTGTGAGTCACTCCGGGTCAGGCGCTTCGCTCCTTGCTCCTCTCTCTGGCCCAACTTTAGTCCTCCTCCCGCCTTCCAGGAGCAGTGCAGACTTAGTCCCCTTTGCGAGTGCCAGATGTCCCAGTGCCAAAGGCTCAGGGACAGAGAACGCGAGAGAGGACAGGCTGGGGGAGCCGTTCACCGGCAGGACTGTCTGCTGGGGAATGGAATGCGGTGAGGCCCCTCTCTCCTTCCTTCCTGCTTTCCTTCCTTTCCCCCCTGGTAACTGCTGCCAGATGAGAGCCCTGTGTTTACACAGCCGGTTCCTTGTAGAAGGTCAGCGTCGCTGCGTTGCCCCTTCTGGACAGCTTACATCAGCAGAGCAGCTCGGGTCACTCCGTCCCCACTGCCAGCTGGGCATGGCGCCTGCTCCCGGGCCTGCACGTTTCTGCAGTGTGCGTACCAGCCACCTGCCTCAGAAGCACTTGGGCAGAGGTGCTTGCTAAAATTCCAGACTCCAGACCCTAAAACAGTCCCAGGAACCCACATTTTTAACAGACACTCTCGGGGGAGTC